TAGTCAGTGTTCCCTTGAGGCTCAAAAGTACCCCAGTGTGGATGACAAATTATATGGTCACCCTATAATGCTAGGGGCGGGTAGCGTAGAGGACGAGAATACCAGGGTGTGCAAAGGTTCACGAAATTGTTAAAAAGAAGCCACACAGCCACTGTTCCATAAAGACAGTACTTTTTTTTTTTAATTTTAAAATTCTGCATCTGAAAACACGGTATGACAGAAAGCATCTATGTACACCTGCAGCGTTTTTGGTATGGTACAGTATTTATTACATCCACTGTTTTCTGCAAAAAAATTTGCTTTGTCAGACAGAAACAAACTCCCCTAGACAAAAAAATACAGCTAAGGCACAATTTCGTTGTTGTTTTTCTGCTAAATGAAGAGACAGAAAAGGTGCAAAAATGGGCGGGTAGTGCAATCGTTTTCCGAGAATCACATTCTACCGCGAGGAACAAGCATTCGGGTGATTGGAACTTTGATTTCTGGTCAATTTCAGATAGTTCAATATCTCTTAAAATACTCCTTTAAATAAATAGCAAAATATCTACATCTTTCAGTGTGTGCCGTTTGAATTCTCTCTGTTTTTAAAACTCTATTTACAGATTCTCTCTTTTTTAAAAAAATCAATACATTACAAAATATTTCTGTACAGTTTTATGCATATTATGATCTATAACAAAATAGTTATTTTTAAAAACTATATCACCACATGTCTTCGGGGGGAAAAAATGAAGGGGAACGGTAATAACTTATGGTGAGGCCTCTAAAAAAATACCCAACGCTACTGACAACATAATAAGAATTAAAAAAAAAAAGGAAGGACTACAAAGACGATTGCGCGCAATTCCAGTGAATTTCCTATGAAAACCCTGGGTTGTCTTTGGCCTCCATCAGCCCTGGAGCGATGGAAGGGAAGAGGAGGGGCTCTGGATGTAGGGAGAGTGTTGCCCCGTGGAGAACACGACCCAGCAGCTGGGAATATTTAATGCTATCTCTTTCCAGGCAGGAAGGACGAAGAGATAAATTGGGAAACTCTCCTGATTCCCCCTTGACTGAAGTAGGTAAGTCATGGTGTCTGGGAAGGGGAGGGTTGGAAAGCTGGATTTAGCACACTGCGGGTCATGGAGCCAGCTTGCTTGCCACAGGGCGCTGGGCAGGAGAAAGCGCTGCAGGAGCTGACTGAGGTGGAGGTGAGCACCCAAGCCTTCATTGCACCCATGGGAAACGCTTACGAACAGTTTTCCTAAAGACGACAGTTATTAGCAACTTCTAAGCATCTGCAAACTACAGATTGGCTGCCCCTTGCTTAGGAGATTTCCAAGAAAGAAAGCTTCAAGGGGCTCTTTTTTCTGGGATGAGGGTGGCAATGGGAGGGAGAGGGCGGTCAGCTTTCCAAAATTAATTTTAAGGCCACATTTCAAAAAGGAGAACCTAAGGCTTTTTGGGGGTGGGGATGGGGAGAAGATACACAAGTCAGAAGAAAGCATGGAGTGGAGAAGATGAATTAGGAATGGGGGTGGTGGTGGGCAGAGGGGCTGGAGAACTCCAGCTGAGTGGAGGGGGGGTAGGGGGAGGGAGGGCCACGTGCTCCCTGCATGGGGCGGGCAAGGACAGAACCAAAGACAACATGAGGGGCGGACACAGGTGGCGCCAGAAAGCCCTCCCCAGCCTTAAGAGGGGTCTATACAGTATTTTGTTTGCAGGGTGAAGAAGAATAAAACTTCAGAGAGAAAGAGAGAGAAACAGAGAATTTGCATAGATTGTACATTCAGCCCAAGCAGATCTGGCCACCTTCATTCCCCGCCAGGTAAACGTCTCAGCAGACACAGTGAGGTAGCGCCTGTGGTAGACCCATGGGCAAAGTAAGGTAACTGAGGCAGAGGCTGGGAGGACTTCCTGGGAGTGAGCTCAGCTCCAGCAGGGCTTCCTTGGAAGCTTCCAGACATGTGGCAAGCTGGCTGCTAAAACCTGGGATTTGGAGAGAGCCGGGCTGTTTCCCACGCCAGCCCCTCTTCCTGGCCCGGTCCCTGACCCTTCCGCCTGGGCGTGGTGACATTCCGGAAGGTGTGGACCTCCTCGGGTCTAGGGGCAACCATTGGGGTCTCCTGATGGTGTCCCTCCTGCCCTTCAGCACAAACTGTGGGGATCAGGAGAGCAGGATGAGCCAGTTCTCCCAGACACCTCCTTGGTGGGACCGTCCCAACGGGAATGATTAGGGAGAGATTCCTGTTCCCTTCAGCATTCAACAGGAGCCACTATGTGTGCCCTTTTCTTAATGCTGGCTTTCCCCACCTCCCTGGGGCCACGCCTGACTTTCTTTCACCCACTTCTGCAGAGCCAGGTGCCCAGGCCGAGCTGTGTAATTTCTCTGTTAAAAAAAAAAGGCCAACATTTAAAAATCAGATTTCCTATTGAAGTCTGGGTTTCTGGCTTCCTTTACCAAAGTGGAAGGTTCTGCTGAGCAGCCCCTGTATTCTCACAGGCGCCGACAGGCTGGAGCTGCTGCTCTTTTCGGAGGGGCCATGTGCCGCCAGCAGACCCCGCCACTCCCTACACTGTCACGCCAACTGCTAGGGGTCCCGGACTCCCCGGATAGCTGTGGCCTCGGCCAGAGGGTGCCTGGCAGGCCTTTGCCAACAGCTTTTCCAGTGTCTCCACCTTGGATGCTGCTGGGGAGCTTGTGTCCCGAGTTCCCAGGGAACGTGGCTGGGAAAAGGGTCTTTGTCACACCCCACACCCAGCAGCCACCGCCCTCCTCCATTCTGCACCTTCTCGGCAAAGAGACCCAGGTTCTAGCCTGTGACCTTCTGGAACCTGGGAACTAGAAAACCAGGGGGAAGCACAGACCACACAACACGGGCCTGGGCCCAGAGTGGCTGCGATCTGCACCTTTCCTGGGCTTGTGTGGCCTTCCGTGCTCAGCCTCTCTCCAGGCCACGTGCATTTTCAGAAGTTCAGCCAACAACGGGAAATGAAGTCAGAATGACCCCGGGTCTGAGCAGAAAGGCCTTGCTCCATAGGAAGGAACGGGTGCATTTGTTAAACATGGGGGGCCCTGGGAATTGCTCACGGCTCTCCTAGCCCTGGCCCAGCCCTGAGACACAGTGCTTTGTGCAAGGCCTGGGCGGTGGGACTTGGGCGGGCTTTCTGTCTCCTATGCTCTAGCTCCCTCCTCACCAGGCCACTAGGAGGGAGAGTGGTTCTAGGGGCCTCAGCGGTTCACATGACACGGTGGGAAACACCGAGTCCTCGCGGCCTGGTGAGGAGGGAGAGAGGAGGCCTGCACCCCACGGGGCTGGCTGGGAAACTGTGCCGAGGGCCACAGCCCACTGACTGCATCCTTCTGCCCCACCTTCCAGCAGTCCCGGGACCCAGCGGTGGCGACCCCCAGCCACTGTGCCGCGGCCTGAAGAGGGCTTCCGGAGACCTCGCCTCATGCTTTTAACAAACGCCCTCGGGCACCATGGCTGAAGGCTGCCTGGTCGATAAACCATGCGCAGGCAGATTAAAGAATGAGTTAAGCCATTTTCCCTGGAAAAGACCATTTTTTCTCAAATCATCCTGGGTTTTGTTTGGAATTCTCTCTCTCTCCCTTTTTCCCCCAAATGGAACATCTGCAAAATTATTCTCTGTCCAGAAACAAAAGACATTAAGAAACAGCCAGATGACTTCTGTGTCCCAGAATTCACTGCAGGGAGAGGTGACTGAAGGCGAGGACAGGGATAGGGTGTGGGTGTCCCCAGAATAAGCCAGCTCTGGCCCACCTGTTTCAGGGCGGGAACAAGAGGCAGCCACGTCGGCAGGTGCAGGAGCCTGAGGGCACACGGTCCGCACAGGGACCTGCCAGGGCTGCACTGTGGCAGCCCCTGCAAAGGACACCGTGGGAAATACCCACGTCCTCGTGGCCTGGTGAGGAGGGAGGAGGGAGGCTCCCTGGGCAGCTCCGACAGGTGTAGGGACACTGGCCAGAGGCAGAAGCTGGGGGCAGAGAGAGGATGTGGCACAGGCCTCCCACAGCTTGTGCGTGCGTTTAGAGATGACAGGGGCTGAGAAAGTCACTCTGAGGGCCCGAGGACCACTGTTGACAGTGGCCACTCCTGGCGCCATCCAACCACTGACCCTCTTCCTGACATGGATGTCTTTTCCTCCCAGGCTCGGAGCAGCCGTTTCCCTGTGTGTGTGTCTGTCATGCTACATGGAAGCGCATGGTCAGACGGGCCGAGGGAGGTGAGTCAGGAGGAAGCAGGACCCTCGAGCTCTGTGGTCGGCACACTCTCCCACCCCAGGAGCTCGGCCTGTCCTGTGCCTGGGGCGGGAGTGGGGATGGCTCAGGAATTCCAACTCCCCCAGAAATGGGAGGGGGCGGTACATGAAGCTAACACCCTGCATAAGGGAAAGTGAGGCTCCAACGTTCCCAAGGTCACCCCTGTCAGCCAGTGCAGGATGCTGTCCGACACCCCTGCTGAGGACACGGAGAATGGAGGGCAGACACGCACGCACACTCACACACGCACAGAAACAGAGAGAGACACTAGGAGATGCGGAGGGAAGTACAGGGACGGGGAGGGCTGGGGCGCCTTTTGTGAATAAAGGCAGCTTCAGTTAGTAAGATAACATGATTGACAAGCTGCAAAAACAGCACCTACTCATTAGTCATTGACTAAAACATATAAATAATAAATATCTAAAGTGTCCTTTCTCTAGACCCTCCATTGCCCATAGGACATCCTGCCTTGCTGGGTGGGGATGGGTGGTTATGGGGGGAGAAGGGGGGCAACAGCTGAAAGGTCATCGGAGCGAACTGCAGTACCTTCATAGTCACACTGGGGGCCACACCAGGAACTGGCTCCCCAGGAAGGGCAGTTTGCAGCCAGGGGTGGGACTTGTCCAAGGGAACCCTGTCCTCTGGGGGAGGTGGGGTCAGAAGAGGAAGCGAGCCTCCTGCAAGGGGGTTCTCAGAGGAGCAGGGGACCCTCCACGGGGCACATGGCAAGGAAACCCTCCAGGCGTCTGGGAGCTCAGGCCGTTGGAATAATATTATTGTTTAGGTTTTAAACAAGCAGACACTCAAGCGTCCCATGTTTACACGGCATGTCGCCTGGGATAAAGAAGGGCATGGATTTAAAAACCGAATCGGAAATGCTTTTTCCTGGATGTGAAAAGTCTGGTTTGGTCACTCCCAACAGCACCGACTGTGCGATTCCCAAAGGTTTGTGGGGTGAGGGGCGGGGGTGGGGGTGGGGGGCTGACCTCAGAATGGAAAAGCTCAGGCCGGGACGGATATTGCTGTGCTGTCTAGCTCAGGAGTTTTGCTCCAAACCGTCTGTAGGTGTTTCATGGCCATGGGCCCTAGTGTTCCCACTGTCAAGGATCAACAAGGTCATGGTCTTGGTCTCCTGGCCCATGAATGGCTGGAGATGTGATGTTCATCAGCCCATTTTCCCCTCGAGGGAGGGGGCATGGAACCCAGGACAGTTGGCAGTCACACCTTGCTGGACCATGGCCATGTCACACCACAGGCTTCCCTGCTCGTGTAGTGACTGAGAAGGGCCGATGGGAGGCCTGGGCCTGCGGCCTCCCTGGGGAGGGCCCGTGAGCATGGTTTCAGGGACCTGTCATTTCAGCGCTGGCACGGGGTTTCCTGGGCCAGAGGAGCGAGAAGAGGAGCCGAAGGGTGGGGCTGGCGATCAAACCCACCGCCTGGGCAGTGCTTTTCAAACTGGGTTTTGCAGAGCCCTTGGGTTCTGAAGAGGTACCTTAGGAGATGCCCTTGGCGAAGGGACCGCCCGGCGGGCCGAGCGTTGAGAAAGAACCCCCTCTCCCTAGCTTCGCCCAGAGCAGCCCGGATTTCACCTGCACCTGGAACTCCACCCACCACTGCGCTTCGTAAACAAAGTTCTGCTGCTCAAAGGAAAAGTCTGAGAATCACTCGTCTGGGGGCTTGGTCACTGGAGGGGAAGACAAGGACCCTGTAGGACGCGAGGACCAGCCAGAAGAGGTAAGACCACACCCCCAGGAGCCAGCTGGCCAAATGCAGGTCATCAGCAGACCCTGCTTTGGCTTCAGAACCTTCCTTCTCCATCATCTATGGCCAGGAGGGCCCCTCCCACAAAAGGCACCCCCAGGGTGGGAGGCCCTCTGGCTGTGTTCCCTTTGACATCTGCTGCGGCCCACCCACGCCCAGTGCTACCTGAGCCGGCCGTCGGGTTTGACTGCCCCCAGCTCCGACTTGGGGTCCGGGCTGAAGGAACTCCAGGCCGTCTGGCTGCAGGTCTGCATGACTGGGCAGGCGGTGGGGCCGGTGGCACAGATGTCCATGGCGGTCCACATGCTGCCCACCAGCGAGTCCAGCCAGCGCTCCAGCGCAGCGCCGGTGGAGGCCGCGTTCCTCCGAGCCTGCTCCACCTGGGCCGGGCTGACAGGCAGGCTGAGGACGGGGTTCAGGCTCTGGAAGCTCTGCTCCATGTAGGCACCACGGGGGGGTCCATTGTGCAGCTTTAGCGCCTCCTCTGAAAGCCAAGGGAACCATCACATCATTAGAAGAGCCACGAACCTGGCACCTGCTGTGTGCCTGGCACCACGCCGGGCACCGGGGTGGCACCACTTCATTCACAGGACAGCCTCATGAGGAGGCTGTCTCCTCAGTCCCACTGCACAGATGAAGAAACTGAGCCCAAGACAGCGCTGAGCCCACTTTAGAGCGAAGTTCATTCATTCACAGATTTTCACGACATCTTCTATAGTCTAGACATTCATTCATTCAATTAATATTTACTGAACATCTACTATTTGCAAGGCGTTCATCCACCCATTCATTTGGTAAATGTTTATTCCAGGCTCTATTCTATGGGGTGGAGAGAACAAGACAGTCAAGGAGACTGCAATCCAGTGGGATAGACTGATGACAATAAAGGGGAAAAAAAGTAAGTAAGTAAGGTTGTTTCAATTAGTGATAGAGTCACAAAGGAAATAAACGGGGTGTTGAGTCAGAGCAGGAGGTTGCACACAATGGCCCCCGACCTGTTCTAAAGTTTTATTGGAACATGGCTATGCCCATTTGGGTAGATATTGTCTGGTTGCTTCTGTGCTACCACAGCAGAACTGAGTGGTTGAGACAAAGATTGTAAGTGGCCCCCAAACCTGCATATATTTACTATCCAGCCCTTGACAGCAAAAGCCTTCCGATCCCTGGGTTAGAGTTACCAGGGTATTTATTTTAGATGAGGTGAGCAAGGGAGGCCTCGCTGAGGAGGTGACATCTGAGCTGAGAGGTGATTAATGTGAAGGAACAAAAAAGCCACATACAGATCCTGGAAAAGAGAATTCTGGGCAGAGGGAACAGTGAGCACAAAGCCTTATTAAGCATCTTTTCCCAAATCACATAGGTAATGGGAGTTGGAGCCGGGGTTTGAGAGCCTGGTGAGGAGCCCTGCTCTTGGCTGCCGAGTGCCCGCCGTGAACTCTGTATAAGCCACGGGCTTCTGCTTTGTCCAGGATGGGGTTGGAGCATGAACAGACCACTGAGAAGTATCCTGGAGAGAGATCTTGGACCAGAGTGGGGTGGGAGGTCCCACTGACTCTCGCAGCAGCTCTGCCTTACTGAGCAACCACGCCTTGGGCAGAGCACAGGGACTGCAGGCAGACCATCTGGGTCTGAAACCCCACGTCCCACATACCAGGGGTGTGACTTCTGACTTCAAAGCCCAGTACCTCAGTTTGCCCATCAGTAAAATGGGTGGAGTACTAATACCTTCCTCTCAGCTTCATGATGACGAAATGTACTGACTCACCCAAAGTGTGTACAATGGCAATCCGAATATACCAAGTGCTTGGAAAGGTTTAGCCTGAATGACTATTCAACTAATATATGTTGGTATTAGTACACAATACACACATGCACAACTATTGGGCTGGTGTTATTCTACCCATTTTATAGATGAGGAAACAGAGGCAACTGTGCTAGAGACAGATCTGGGATTAAGTCTAAGACTGGCTGACTCCAAAGCCGGTGTTTGTCCTCATGATAATCTACTGAAGGCTCATCCACCAGCTGGAAGCTAAAGCAGTAGTTTTGTTTTTGATTTTTGTTTGTTTGTTTTTCCATCTCAGAGTCAGTCTTTCAAAGACTTGGTTTCCCCACCTGTAAAATGGGGACACTCATCCTTGCACCAACTGGACCCGCTGGGCTGGCAAGAGGCTCTGATGGAAGTGCATGCGCTTTGTCAACAGTCATGTGACATATAAACCAGAGGCACTTAGCGACGGGGAAGCAGAAAGGGCAGCCATCTGGGCTGAAGGAAAGAAGTGAGTTGTTCCTATTTTGAAGGAGCTCCCACTCGTTGCTTATTGTCAAACACAAGAATACATATATTTAAAAATACCGACTAATGATTCTGATGAGAATTAGAAGAAAGGATTAGAAGAAACCTCCTTGTAAGACTAAGTGGCATTCAGAACATAACCCTTCCTGCTTGCTGGACAGTGCCCATCACCCTCGGCAGCAACCAGGACACCCTAATAGTTGGCAGGTTATTTTCTAACAAGTGTGGTCTTGAGTGGGGAAGGAGGAGGAAGAAAGACCATATACAGGGCGTCCCACAAAATGTATACACACTTTCACAGCTGATAGCTCAATTTTTAAAATGAATGCATTTTAATAAACACTGCCTTTATGATTATTCCGAGTGTGTGTATACAGTTTGGGGGCACACCCTATACACGCAATGGAAAACCCAGTTGAATTTAAAATATGCCTTGACTAACACAGACAAGAAAGTCATTCCTAATGCTTCAGGAAGCTGACGGGCCCGGCTCTACAGTTTGGAGGAGCAAGTGGGAAAGAAGAGACCATCAGGTGTGAGCACATATCCTGTCCTGCTGTGAGTTAGCGGGCTTCTCCCTTTCATGTTAGGTAAGCCCGGTGTGTCAGTCACCCTGGCCCACAGCTCCTGGATGCTGGCAGAGGGCAGGCAGCTCCTGTGTCATTCACCAGGAGAACAGAGGCTGTTCTCTCTGATGCGGATCTGATTTCTCTACTCGAGCCTCTCCAGGCCTCCATCCTGCAGATGGGGAGACGGGGCACACCAAACCCACAACACGCCGGCCTGCAGAGCGAAGAGAGCCGCTCACACATCTAACACCAAACATTGCGGTTGATGCAGAAAACCCTTATGAACTGTGAGGCTGACGTGGGACGTGCTCTTACAGCATCAGCCGCCAATGCTCACCTCTATAATTAAATTTTCCTCAATTCCACCTCATCAGATTTCTTGAGATTACTAGGGACGCATCAATAGCAAATTACTCTTGATGAATCATTTTACAAATTGCACGGCTCCCTCCTTCGTGTTCCCTGTCGTTGGAACATCGTTAACAGATGCAATTACCAACGATGACGATGGGGCATTGCTCCCAGTGGGGTGCAATGACCCCCGGCTCATGCTGGGCATGGGTGGGAAGGGCCTCCAGGAGAAAAACATTGGGAAACTCAGGCCCCAGTGAAGGGCCCGGGCTGTTTGCTGAGGTGGATGGAGTCAGGACCATGCCCTTGTTCTGTCCAGCAGGCGCATCCACCACAGAGGTCTGGACTGCCCTTTCCAGCGCCCCCCTCCACACCTGGCTGTGGAGACCCCAACGGATGCCAAGGACATGAACCTGACCCAGGACCCTGGGGGCCCTCAGGGCTGTGCACTGGCCCACAGTTCTGGGGAGCTTTTGTCTGTTTCCGAGGGGAGAGGAGAAGCAGAATTCCATCTTGAGAAAACCTGAGGGCTCTACCTGTCTGCTTGCTCAGCACAGAAACTTAGCAAAGTCGATAGAATCCCTTCAACACTCCCTCTTTATAGGACTCTGTCCCTACCCCCCGCCCCCCCATATCTATGTCCCCTCTCCTTGTGTCACTGGCTAAATGGCACCCAGCTCAGAACGCTTAGCTACCAGAGGCTGCAATTGTTTCTGGCTTCTGGGTCTGCGATCTGTTAGAGGGAGACAACACCAGGCGGCTACTGTTGTGTTGGCTGTTGTCATTGTCTTACTTGACAATCTAAGGAGAAAGAGGTCAGTGCCCCTGACTAAATAGTCAGGTAGTGCATTGCTTTACAGATTCCTGTGGCACGCGGGCTGGAAAAGCGCTGACCTGGTGTATCATATTTTTGATGAACAGGATTTCCTGTTTTAATTAATTTTTTTTTTACACAGTGAACAAGATTTGCTAAAACTCAATATCTGCCTGGGCTTATTTTCCATCCTGTCTTAAATATGATCAGAGCCTCTGGGAGCCCAGTGGGAGAGCATCTAATAAAAAGTTATCTAAGTCACAGACAGAGGACGTCACCTCCGTGTGCAGGCAGAAGAGCAACTACTGAGAGCAGAGAGCATGGTTCTCGAAAGTGGCCCCCTCTCCCCACATCTGGGCAGTGCCACTGCCCAGGCGATGGACCCATGAGGTCCCCGGGGATGGCATATCCCCCCCACCCCCGACCCTGGACTCCCAGCAGAGACATGGGGAGTACTCACCCGGTTTGATGGGCTGCCTGTTGGAGAAGGTCAGAGGTGCGACGAGGAATTTGGTCTCTGCGACTGGCACCCAGTGGTGGAGAATTTTCACTGTCCAGACCCCAGGCCGCAGGGGCAAGTTCAAAGGGGGCTTGTAGTGGGTGAATTCGGCCGTGGACTCAATCAGGATGTCGTAGGTGGCTGCGATGACGTTGACGGGATCCACCCAGATGACGGTCACGGTCACGTTGGGGCCCTTCCCCCACTTCTGCATGCCTACCGGCTCATCCATGGGCCCCAGGAGACCCCCAAAGTTGCGGAAGAGCCGCTCCTTGGCATCCCAGTCAGTGCCGACCTGAAACAGGAGAGCGAGTCCTGAAATCACTGACACTGAGCTATGGTGCTGTGTCCCAGAAAGGCCTGAGATCCTGCTTGCTGGGCAGGATATACCCATTTTACAGATGAGGAAATGGGGAAACTCAGGCTCCGATTAAGTTACTTGCTCAAGGTCAGACAGGAAGTAAGCAGAAGCTTTGGTATTTGGATCCAGGTTGGAGGATTACAAGGCCTGTGGTCCATTCACTAAACCTTAGGGCCTCCAGTGCCTGGCACCTGGTGGGTGTTTTGGGAAAAAAATGTGCACTGAATGAATGAATCTCTGTTTGAGGCCATTCCAAGAAAACATACACCCTGCCATTCAACAGGTCCAGCTGGGTTCCGCTTTGCTCCTTGGTTTTCCAGATCATGTGCCTCTGTTGAGTGTGCTATTCTGAAGGAGACTAGAGCTCAGGTTTTGGAGCTGCCCTGTCATAAGCTAGAAAAGAAGGGCCCCTCAGCATCGCCTGTCACCTGCAGCAGTTCACAGGGCTTTCCCAGAAGATAGAGCTCTGGCCTCCCTAACACATGCTGAGCTGGAGCCAGGGGTAGGAGATGGTTGTACAATCCATCCTTCCTGCCAGCCAGTGGCTTACGCCCTCCACGAATCCACGCTTGCCTTCCCTCCTTCCACTCTGTTACCTGCAATCTCTTCTCCACCCAGCAGTCAGAAAGACCCCGTGAATTGTCCTCAAACCGCTCAGATCCCTGTGCCTGGGTCCACTGCTCTCTCGTGGTGCCTAGCACTGTGCTTGGGGCTCCATCAGAATCTGTCAAGTGAACGACTTGACAAATGAATGAACTGCAGAGATCCCTGATGCGTCTGTTGCAGTTTCAAATCAAATTAAATGAGGGTCTTCTGCTCCCCAGGAGCTTTCATTTAATGCTCCGAGGACAGGGTGGGACACGCTGGCAGCCGATAATGAGCACACTGCCAGGCTTGCGCTGCTTCTGTGGCCTCTGCATGACCAGCATCTCCAATGTGTGTGTCTGCAGGTCAGGGCAGGGGAAGGTAGAGACATCTACACCCTGAGAAGATTCCACATTAAGGTGCAGACAGGAGCTGGCTTACTTTCTCCTTGTTCTCACCTCGAGTCACTGTGTCCATTCCTTACACAGAACACGGAGCTGCATGGCCAGTAGGTACCAGGAGCTTATGCCAGGCATAATGCTAAATTCTTGGATGCATCACTCATTTCATACTCACTTCCAACTCCACAGTATCCCCATTTTACAGATGAGGAAACTGAGGCTCAGAGCAGCTTAATAACTTGCTATGGTCAGTGAGGGGCAAAGCCAGCAGGGGGACTCAGGAAGTCTGACTTCAAAGGCTGTGCTCTTATCTACTCTTCAATGTATTGCCTCCCATTCATTCACTCACTCACTCACTCACTCATCAATACATATGTGCCAAATGCCTACCACCAACCAGATGGGACTATTTATACCTGTCCTTCATAGGCCCACAGCTTGCTTCAGGTTTCCGTCTTTAGACCGCAGCCTAAAGAGTGGTCTTAAGGGCAGCAGAGGTAGCGATTGCTGTGACATTTCTGCTGGGCACCGTCCCTCCCAGGGCTGTGAAATCCTGGCCACCCTATGGACCAGCAGGAGCTGGCTGCTCCCGAGGACCCCTGCTGCTCAGCACAGTGTCTGGGACACAATAGGAATTAAAACGATGCTGTTGGTTGAAGAAATAAATGAGTGAGCAGGATTCAAGCTACACCTCAAAGTCTTAGAGATTTTTCCAAAGAAACCTGATTCTAAGCCCAATCCTTTTCAGTATCTCATTGTTCCTAAGTCTGGTCTCTCACTCTGTCCTACAAGGTCTGGTCCTTTGGGTCTCTTCCTTTCTGTCCCTCTCCCCATCCTCCACTCACCCCTGCTCTAGGCTCTCCCCTCCCCTCCCCTGCCTCCCCCCGCATGCTGGAGTACTCTCAGCACCTCCTTGAGAAAGGCTCACTCTTGCCTCTCATCTTGTGTCCGCACCTACATCTCTCTGGTTCAGTCTGCTTACTTTCCCCACCCTCTTCACTACCAGCTCTTCTTTATCATCTAGGCCTCAGCCAGGGTGTCACCACTACTTGGAAGCCTTCCCTGCTTAGAGGCACCACTAAGGTGCGTCTCTCAGCGTTTGCCCATTGTAGTTTTTTTGTACAGTATTGCAATCTTTAATTTAATCTATCTCCCTGGCTCAACACTATCAACTCCATGAGAGTATGGACAAAATTCAGCTTATCAATGTATCTCTAGTGCCCAAAACAGTACTGAGCATATAGCAGGTGCTCAATACATCTCTATCTCTATATTTATCTACCCAGCATATATCGACCTACCCATCCATCATCTATCTATGTCATGAGCGATTACGGGCTGAGCACATGGACATCCCTATGCACCCAGGCCCTGCACACACTGACGCCAACAGACGCTGACAAATGGATCAATGGTCACAAAACCATGTCAGGGTTCTACTTCAGGAAGGAATTACCCACCAGTTGGGGGAGTGTGGGGACACTCCAGAAACCATCCTTTGATTCCCCCATAGAGTTGGGGGTGAACAAATCCCTGAAGTCAGTTCCGAAACCAAAATAACACAGCAGAAGAGTTGCAAAGCGGCTGACAGTGGAAAAACCTAGATCTTGTTTCTAAACTTTGAGAGGAGGAGAAGGTCAGCCACCACCCCCACGCGCGAGGGAGGAGGGTCTGCCTGAGATGGAGCCCTGTTGCTGTCACATCCTCTGTGGCCTTCAAGGTCTTCTCCCCCTTGCTCTGGAAGTCCACACCGTACTCTGGCACAGTCTGCTTACCATTTGTACCACAAAATGATCAGCTGCTCATATATGAGCGCATGTTCAAGTTCAAGCTTAACAATGCTTCCCGGCTTCAAGTCCACCAAAGGTTTCCCACAGCCCTTAAAATACAACCCAAACTTCTCTCCAGGGCCTGCGAGACCCCTCATGCTCTGTCCCCTGTCCCCCTGAGACCTCCCTCCTATCACTCTCCCTCTCGCTCACTGTGCACTGGCCTTGCTGCTCCTGGAGGCCGCCCAGCTCTTGCCTAGAGCCCCAGGGTCTTTGCCTTGCACATGCGCTTCTCTTAGAAGGTCCCAGGGTACAGTTTTCAGCTCCCAAATTATTCTTAGAAAAGCCTTTCTCAACGAATCATCCCATTGAAACTAGTCCTCATCGGCCTCTCAAGGCCTCAGCAATCACAGGGAGGGCATTTTTCTTTCTTTGTGTAATACTTGTTATTAGTTGAAATGTTTTTGTTCATTTGTTTGCTCACTCATTGGCTGCCCCACAAGAGAGCACTTCCATGACTATAAGAGTCTGGTCTATCTGGTTGACCGCTGTTCCTTCTGCACCTCGCACATCTCGGGCACTCGGTGACTTTCTAAGCCACTGGCACGGGACATCCACGGGATGGAGAACTCTCTCTGAGCTCCCCACTTGCCCTGGGCCAGGCCCTATGCACAACCCTGGGGCTGTGTTAATTCAAGAGCACTTCTCAACATGCAGTACTGTTCCTCCTCCTTGTCCAACTTCACGTTTGCCTTAAAATTAAGGCTTTAGAAAAAAAACCTCGAAATACAAGATCCGGGGCTCCCTGCTCACATGTTGGTACTCTGCCAGAGGCCTCGGTGGCTCTCACACCAAGGGTACCAGAGCTATCGCAGGAACCCTCACAAATCACCAGCCACGAGTGGCCAGCGTCATTTGTCACTGCCAGAAGGGCCCGGTCCCCCAACGGCAGGCTGATAAACAGGGAGAGCCCAGCCACCAGGCATCCATCTCCTTAATGGGACGTTAATGTCTTCAATCGGCCGCCTGGGCCCCCAGCACAGATTCCAACTGGGGCAGCATCGAACCGCCCCCTGGCGCCAGTAATTTATTGAGTGGGTTCCCATGGCAGCTCAAATCCAGCCAATCTGTTTGGAACCTTAATTGAAAACCGTGGCTTCAAAAGAAACTCCCACCAGTGCCTGTTCAGTGCCCACTCAGCAGGGCACAGGTCGGCCAGGTGGGCCATTGGGGACTGGAAAAAGACTAGCAAGGGAATACAAGTGGGTGTGATACTTACTCCCATCCCTTAAGATTCTCCACATTCCAAAATCGGCTCCCAAGCCAGCAGCCAAACTCATTGGGGGTGCTTAACTCCAGGAATGAATCAGTGCTTTAGAAATCCCATGAGGAGTCTTGTGTGGGCAACCCTCACCAAGCTAGATCAGGCTTCCTCTTCCTTCCAGGTCACCAGCCAAGTGCAGGCACTCATTCATTCAGAAATCATTGTTGCTGACACTAGTATGGGTGTCTCCCATCTTCCCCCATTTGCCCATCTCCACCCAGCCTCCATCCGCCTCCCCTGGCCTTCACCACACTGTTGTCTGTGTCCATGGACTATGCATATATCTCGTTTGGCTAATCCCTTCACCTTATTATGCATCTGCAAATGCTACATACTCTTCTATGTGCTGGTTTACAGCAGTGAGTGAGAGGGATATTGTCTTCGCTCTCTTGCGGACAATCACCAAGTGACTAACGAAAGCAACAAGATGATGTTAGATGGTAAATGCTAAGAAAACACTAAAACAAGGATGTGTCGGGCGGGGAGTGTAGCTATCATGGCCTACGTGAGTGGGCAGAGAAGGCTTCTCGGAAGGTGCGTTGTTTAGACTTAGATCAGAATGACCCCAAAATGGGTGAAAACCTGTGAGAAAGCGTTCCAGGCAGGAGGATCAGCATGCCACGCCTGAGGTGGGAACAAACTGGGCATGCTTGACAAAGACACAGGTGTGAGTGGGGAGGAGAGTGGTACTGGATGAGGCTGGAGAAGTAGAAAGAGGGTAGATCAGGTATGGAAGTGGGGCAATGTCAGAAGGGTGGTGCTGGGTAAATCCATCTCCCCAGGCAGGAAAACAACTGAAAGCTGGTGCTGTACTGGAGAGGTGGAAACTGCATTCCATAGGTCATGCATCAGTCCATCTGTCCAAACACTAACACATCCGTCCATCCATCCATCCATCCATCCATCCATCCATCCATCCATCCATCCATCTGTCCATTCATCCACCCACCCGTCCATGCATCCATCCATCTTCTCATCCATTCAATGACTGATCTGGTACTTATTTTAAGCTAAATCCTGTGCTAAGAACCGGGGAGACAAAAGCACAATTAAGCATGGGACTTGCAGCCTAAGAGACCTGGGTTCAAGTGTGAGCTCTCCCACTTCCTAGCTCTGATGTAGAAAATCACTGAATCTCCACAGGCTTCAATTTTCTAGTATGTAAAACGGGATTGATGCCCCTACTTGATCAGGAAACTGGTTTGATATTGGTCCATAAAAGAAATAGAAGTTCTACTATGAAAAATAGACCAAGGGCCCAGGTTGGTTTGGCCCACTGTCCTTCTCCGGATCTGTTGAAGATGCCATTTCCAGTGTTTGGAACTGGAGGCCCTTCTGCAGGCACAGGGTGAGCCTATCTTTGGGGCTCTCCAAGTCCCCTTGTCCTCCATCTCCAACTATAGGCATCAGATCATGGAACAGGACTCAGCAAGGGGGATGCAAAAGGCAGTGAAGTATGACATGTCTGGTTTCTTACCTCGGAAAATTGGAGCCTCCCAAAGTCGCTGGGTGGGCTTGCGATCTTGAAGACTTTCTTCGGCATCACCCACGTCTCCAGCGTCTCGAGTTTGCTCACGGCCAGATTGGTAGCATGATGCTTGATCACAAAGCCCTGGAAACGGTCAGCAAGGAAGTAGAGGTGGACAGACGCTGCGTGGCCCATGGGATAGTACCTGAAACACACACACAGTCTCACATGAGCTCACGGGTCAGGGCTGGAAATGTGAAGGCTCATAGTGGGGTGCCCCCCATCATGCTGGTCTTGTTCTTAAAATAACCCCCATTTTATACAATGCTGACCATATTCCTGAAACTGTTCCCTGTGTGTCTATGATCTCAACCACTATTAACAGTAGCTTTTTAGATGATTGCAAATGTAAAGCATGTTGACTATATAAAAGCACAAGAAAGAAAATAAAAATTGCTACACTTTTGAGGCTTCTTTACATAGATTACGTCAATTCACAGATATTTATTGACTCTCTGGTGCTAGGTATTGGGAAGCAACAATGGTGTGCAAACAATGTCATGTTGACTCATTTCCCTTCGGCCTTATTCCCTATGCATATATTTGCATAAATCTCATATGAGATCATACTATACATACTGGTTATATCCTGCTTTCGCTTCATAGTATTTCGCAGGCATTATCACGTTTTTGGAAAGTCTCTGAAAACGTGACACACACACACACGTTCCACTGTACGTAATACTGTATTTTACAGAGCAAGTTCCTCATCATTGGCTGCTTAACTGGTTTTTAATTTTTTGGTCACTGTAGACAATGCTGCATTAAACATCCTTGAGCAAAAATGCAATCTCTCTCACTCATTTCCAAAGGGCCCTTCAGGTCTGCCGTCCAACTTTATCAAAAAGGTTGTACTGATTTACGCTCTCACTGTCCTTCCCAGTCAAGGCACTGGGCATTATCCTTAAAAATGAATCCAAGGTCCATACATTCAGACACGAAGAGGTAACCGTTGTTTTCAGACGCTTGACTTGGATCCACAAACAGTCACTGGGAGAAAGGGGCTGGGGAACTAAGCAGAGATGCCCAGGAGAGGGCTCAGGTGGGAGGGACTTGGGATGAGCCCAGCTTTCTTTCCTTCGGTGGAGGAATTGAGGGCTGCTGGCCTCTGCAGTGTGTGAACTGCACAGCATCAGAGGTGCTAGTGGCCCCCGAACAACAGTGTTCTCCAATCACTGTTCTGCTTAGCCGCCTTCCCTCCGGTCCTCATCTGGAGCTTCAGTCTTTATGTCCAATGACAGCGGTTAGGGAAGCCGCCTTCCTGCGCTTCCCCATCTCCGGAAATCACTGCCTGGGCACTGGAATGCCTTGGGGGCTCTGAGAGAAGAGCCGGCACCCTCTTCAGGCTGCTCGCTGGGCATCGGCTCACAGGTCTGCGCAGGGCCTGGGCTTCAGGAGCAGAAAAGCCTCGCCCCGGACGGTGCTGTGAGCTCGCTGCCGGGATGGAGGCGGGCTGCAGCGGGGCTCTCTCCACAGCAGCCACTAGTACTGCGACGACTGAGCACGTGAATGTGGCTGCTGCGGCGGAGGAACTGGATTTTTTTATTTCATTCACTTTCATTGATTTAATCTCAAATACCCACTGGTGGCCAGTGGTGGCTGTACTGGAGGCATAGACAGTCATGACAGAGTCTCGTGGCTGCTGGCATCAGCGCCTCCAATCCTTCACCTCCCCGTCTCCATGCTCTCTCCCACGTGGCGTCGCAGGGTTCCTTGCCCTGAAGAGGCAGAGTCTATTTCCCCGCTCCCGACCTGCCTGGACCTGAGGCGCCATGCCAGCTCCCAGCCAGGGCCCCAAGAAGCCTTGCGCATTTCCTCTCTTGCTCTTCTGTGATGAGAGCAGGCCTTTGTGGAGCAAAGAGGATCCCAACCACAAGCATGAAGCAGAGCCACTTGTGGTACTCAAGCAGGGGCGCTGGATATGGCTGATATAAGGTCATGGACAAAAGCAGGAGGGAGACAGGTAAGGGAGCTCCTGTGAGAGCCCAGGGAAGGCATGATGGTGGCCTGGACTGGGAAGCTGGCAGTGTAGAGGTGGACTGAGGTAGAGGATGGATTCAGGTGGAGACAGCAGGATTTCTTGAAAGCAAGCAAGCAAAGATTGACCCCTAGGGCAACAGGGAGCATGCCTGGGCTACCTGCTGGAGGTCGAGACATTTGGGGCACACAGAGCCACCCCAGCCTCACAGCGGCTGCAGATTCAGGAGACATGCCAGCTGAGACCAGGAACCTGAGAACTTGAGCTCAGTGTCAATGCTTATCACTTCAAAACACTGACTTGGGGCCTGTTTGTTACACGGCATTATGGCAGGAGCTACGTAATACACTATCAATGTTTGTTCTGCAAGGTGGTTGGGTCAGTGATGCTGGGAGAAGAACAGGAGAGCTTGTTGGCATGGGAGTGAAAACAAGAGTTTCCAGAAGGGAGAGGTCCAGACAGAGGTGCTGCTAAGGGGTCAAGTAAATGAGCAGTGGGCAAGCACTCTAGAAACCAGGTCTGACTGCCTGCTTTCCCTCTTCTATCAAGAAACCCTGCTGTCTCCACCTGACTCCAGCTGCTATGGCCAGCATCCTGGTCCAGGCCAACATCGTGCCTCCCCTGGACCTTTGCAGGAGCTTCCTTGTCTCCCTCCTACTTCCGTCCACTTTACCCTCATAACAGCCATTCCCACCATCTCTGCTTAAATACCACAAGTGGCTCTGCTTAATGCTTACGATGAAATCCAAACTTCACCTGGCCCACAAAGCCCTGCCTCTTTAGCTTCATTTTGTTTCCCTCTGCCCCAAACCTCCACCTTCTAGCCACATGGACCTTATTTTAGATTCTACATAGACATTAGTTTGGATTCTTGACCACAGCGAGCTGGTTTCCACCTCAGGGCCTTTGCACGGGATATTCTCTGTGCTGGGACTGCTCTTCTCCTCTTAGGTTGCATGGCTGGCTCTGTCTTATCATCTTGCTTCAATGTCACTACTTCCGAGAGATCTTCCTTGACTGCTGACTCTTAGTCACCAACTCGTTGCCATCATGTAACTTTACCTTCATTCTGAGCAGAGCATTTATCCCTACTGATCCTTCGTTCTTGTGTACCAGTGCTTAGGCACAGTCTGTCTTCACACTAGAACGGGAGGGCCTTGAACATGGGGGCCTGGTCGGTCTGGGTCATGGCTGAGTGCCCAGTGCCTAACACAGAGCCTGACACATGGTAGATGCTTCAAACAATACTTGTTGATTGAGAGAAAATTCTAGAAGGATTTTCTCTTGAACCCTTTGCTTCTAAGGCACATGGAACTTTGTATCTAAGATACATGGAACCCAGGACTGAGCACAAAACCTCCCGGTAGTTGTCTTGACTGTGTATGATAATTAACTAAAACTAAGAAGGGAGTTTGTTTTCAATAGGTGCAGTACAACAGAACCTAAAGGATGCCACAGATGCATTCATCTCACCCAAAGGTGGGTTTTTGTCTTTTCTTTCTGAAATAAGTGGGCATTGGAAAAATTAGGAGACTCACAGACATCTACATTTCTGATTTGTCTTGAAAAATGGCTGGCAATTCAATGTCTACATGCCCATTGGACAAGAATGTGCTGGGGGTCAGCACGGGGCCCCGGGCGGTCTCGGCTGGCACAGTGAGCCCGTGCTGAGGGGCCAGCCAGCACTGGCTGCCACGCGCTACTTGCCTGGCCCAGGAGGGCATTTGAATTTGAGGACGTGTAATAAAATCCTGACATCTTTATCTCTGGAGGGTGACTCACAAGCAAACTTTATTTTCTTGTGCTCTCAATCTGCCATTTTGAAAATTTCTGCAACCAGTATGAGTTATTTTATAATGAAAAAAATCAATAAACATTATTTTTATGAAAGGTTATCCTGCAGACTGGAAAGACACAATTTGCATGAAGTGCCCAAAGAAAATGAGACTCTTGAAATAAAGTTCTCACGTGCTGTTTCCCCAGATACCCTGGAGGTAGGAATTTACTCTCCGCTCCGTTTTGGGATAAGGGTCCTTTGTCCTGATTAACGTTCAGGCTCATAGTCATAAATATATTGGCTTTGCCCACAGCAAAGCACAGTGTGATAAAAATAAATGAGCGAGAAGTCAAAGGATTCCAGGCCCGGGGCACCTTGATGGCCTGCTTAATCCCCAAACAAGTCCTAGGATGTGTTTGGGAGTGTCTTCTAGAATTTCCTATAAGATTATTTACTTTATAAATTCTAAGAAGCCTGGGATTAAGACTATTCTTGAATAACATTCTGCTTCCAAGAGTGGCACTGGGTTCTGTGCTGGGGATTGGTACTGTGGTGCTGTGAGCAAGGGTTCTGCGCCCAGACTAGCAGGGGCATTAGACCTTCACCGTTGACCTTGACCCAAAATACTGCTGCTACATGCAATGGGGGTAGGGGGGTAGGGGGGAGAGGTTGGAAGTGAGTCTGAGCTACTTTCAGCTTGGGAGAGGGAGGGGATGGGCTATCAGGGGGAGCTCTCAGCAAGTTTCACAGAGGATGTGGCGCCTGAGATGGCCCTCGGAGACTGGGAGAGGGTTGGCTGTGTGGGGACAGCGGGGCGGTAAGCAAAGGGAAGCACAGAGGGCGCAATGAGCAGCTCATGTAACTGGTTACGGAGGTGTAGCTCACACAGTAGGCTCCCTGTTGACGTTGGCAGCTTAATAATGGCACGAACACTGACTAAGCACTCTGTAAGTAAAACATGGTTAAAAACGGGGACAATAATAATAATACGTAAGTGAGAAGGTCACTATTGAGGATTATCTCCTTTAAACCTCATAACACCTTATGCTGTAAGGCTTATTATTATATTCCCATTTTACAGATGAGGAAACTGAGGGTCAGAGAGGTCAATCACTTGTCCAAGGCCAACAGGTAGTAAATAAAAGTTGACTTCAATCTGCAGGTCCTGGTTCCCGACCCACACGGGGCTTTCCTTAAACTAAGTCAGAACCCACAGGAAGAGGATCGAGGCTGAGGCCACGAGGAGATAAGAAAAAACTGTGGCAGCCCTGCCGAAACCCAGATGGCCAGGCAGGAAGTCGCAGCCAGGAAACCTCCCCGTGCTCAGGATTTAGGCAATAGTTCCAGAGAAGAGGGAAGAGCTAGGCAAGGAGGGGTACATAGGAGGAGCCTCAGTGGAGAGACTAATGTTAAACTTTTTTTTTTTTTTTTTGCTTTAAAAGAGGGAGGTGGGAGAAGGAGAAGGGAGAACAAGAAAGAGGAGAGTGATTAGAGGCACTTTTGAAAATCCAACCTAAAAAAATAACCAAAAAAAAAAAAAAAAGAAGGAAAGAAAGAGGCTTTCTGCAAAGAAGAGAGTCATCAGGGCGTTATTTACAATGGCCCATTACTGACAATAGCAACAGGAAAGGGCTGGATTAAGCAAACTCCCAAGTTTCTGCTCTTTGTAACAGCAGCGGCATTAAAAAGGATCATTAGCATGAAGGAAGCTGCAGAGCAGCGGGAGAGGGGCTAATATTATAATGCCGATCAGGAATATAACAGGGCTCCAAACTCTTGTTGCAAGTATGTGAATATCTGCAATGCACATTGCTAGAGAAAGGAAGACAGCCAACAAAAG